ATGCAATCTTTGTTCTGAAAAGTCACCATTCTAGATTTTAAAAAATTGAGTTTCTTTTAGTATAAATAAATACAGGATGTATAACTATGCTGCCAAATGTGGTAGCCACTATTCACATAAGGTTTATCTAAATATAAATTTATGGGAGTAAATAACAGTAAGAATTCAGTTGTTCATGAGTCCAACTGGGGATGCCCTGCTCCCCACCCCAACCCCACCAAAGCTCTGCGGCTTCCAGATAACGATGTTACAATCACCAACTACCTTCCAAGCTTTTAAAGAGGCTCCTGTAACCGTCACTTCTGTAGAGTGCTCGACTTTGACTGCTACAGAACTTCCTGAGGTGGCAGAAGTAAGGACAGGCAGACCCAGCATGCATGAGCAGATGCCTGTGTCAAGTGCAGAGCTCGGTGCTGAAAGCAAAAGACAGACTCACACATGGAAATCCTGGACTGTGTGCCACAGGCACACAGTCGCAGGGCAACAAAGCTTTGTCTGAAGTCTCCACTATGAACAAGTGTGGGTGGGGATCCTGTATCGGGTGTTGTTCCCCTTGTGCTCAAGTATAAACCCCAGGAAAACCTCTTTTGGTGGGTATTGTTTGTCTGTTTTTGTTTTCTACCTAAGTCAAGAAAAGAAAAACAATAGTAGACTGAATCTAGGTATGTCGGCATTGTCCCGCAATTCCAACACTCTGGGAGGCTGAGGCAGGAGGATCACAAGTTCAAGCCTTACCTGGGTAATTGAGGGAGACCCTGTCTCAAAATTAAAAAAAAAAAAAAATGACTGAAGATGTAGCTCATTATAAAGGTCGGCAGCATCCCAGGTCCGCTGGCCCTGGGTCCAGTCCATGGTGCCAAGAAAAAAAAGAAGCACCTACTGGGAGCATATGCTGCCTGTGGCAAGCAGATGTGAGGGCAACAACTGCCCCAGCCAACAGGATGTCACTGATTGATTGCCCACTGAGAAGGGAGCTCCGCTTTATTCTCCACCATGATGGAATGACAGAGCCGGACATTGAGATGAGGGTTGGAGGGAAAAGACATGACCCCGGATGTCAGAAAACCTGGGCTTGGATCTTGGTTCTTTACATACACTTAGAAATGTAAACAACTCACAGAACACCTTCAATTTTCACCATCTTCCATATGAAATAGACACACTATTACCTACCTCACAGGATGTTTTTTGTTTTTATTTTTTATGTATTTGATTGTTGCAGAATCTCACTATGCAGCTCGTACTCATGGTGCTCCTCCTGCTTTTAGGCGCTGGGATTACAGGTGTAGGCCACCACGCCCAGACTACGACCTGCTCAGCCCATCCTGGGGGAGGGACTGGCGTGGCAGCTCACAGATGGTTTTATTGATAAAATGAAATATTGGGAGTAAAAGTTTTAGGACCATGGTAGGCACTCAGAAAGCTAACCTGCGTCTTTGTTTTCTACGGTACCTCCCCTCCAGTCTCTGAAATAAGTTGTTTTCAAATCAGCACAGCCAAGCAACTAAGAATAGTAATACTTTTTTAAAAAGGACTTTATATTTGTTGGAAAATACTAGAACATCTAATACGTACTCTTAGTAAAATCCACATACTTTCAGCGCAACAGTTCCTTTCATTTTCTTCTCATGCCTCTCCGGTCACGTTCTATGAATCATTTTCCTTTGCTAAATCCTGCCCTGAGGTCTTTTCCTCTTTATCCCCCAGATCTTTTTATCTTTCCATTGTTTCCTCCAATTATTTTCAGCATGAAAGCCTAAAACCGGAACAACTGGAAACTCACAGATCAGGAATGTAGACAGAAAAGAGGTTTTTCTTTGCAGAAAAGGAAGAAAGGCTCAGAGCACCTCCACTTACACTCTTGTTTTCCCATGTTTGTGAGTGCTTGCTTTATCACATTCATAAAGAGTCAGAATGAAAGTCAGCAACAGTGTGGTGCAAAAGCTTGGTTCACTTGCCTGGGGAGTCTAGAGGCCAAGCTCAAAACAGATCTGCTCTTTTCTGATTGGCTGGTCACATTCAGGAGATCATGTCCCCGCATTTCCTAGTAGGGTCAGCATCTTGTCCAGGAAGGGTGTCCCTTGGTGAGCAGAGCAGGTGTTCTCCCAGAAGTTTCCCCTGCACCTGGCATCTGCTCCACTGCAAACCCTTCCTTAAAGGCACAGTTTTGTTCATGCAAATGTGTGTCTGCAGTTTTGCAGAAGTACTCTTGCTCTGAACTTAAAAAAAAAAAAAAAAAAAAAAAGTCACGTTTTGCTAATGCAAAATACTTTTCATTTTCTTCTGCTTCCACCACTTCTAATCTCTCAGTTGAATCTTGTAGCTCTTTTCTGCAAATGTACCCAAGAGTCCTCCCTAGAAATAGATGGAAAGGGAAACCTCAGGAAAGAAGAATGGAGGGAACTCACCCATGCATCCGTTCAACTGTTTCTTGTGTTTTATGTTTGTCTTTGGAGGCTTGCTTTAGCCTTGAATAGTGAAAGTAAGGTCCATGAACCATGAGGCTAATTTAAATCTTCGATCAGATTTGTGAAAAAAAAAAAAAAAAGAGCACTTTCAGTGAATGGTCCTCCATTTCTGTGGAAGAGCACGCTGTGGGTCAAGGTGCTTATTCTATCCTATTTAAATTTGATCTTTCAAAAATATCACTGTCTTTTTTTTTTTTTTTTTGTGAATATCAGTTATGCTGCTGTCCCTAATCCCAGGGTCGCCTTTCACCTTTTCCCGGCACTGATCACATCTCATAGTCTTGTAAATTTTCTTCCTGCATGAGCTGTGCCAAGTTCTGCCTTTTCTGTAGCACTCTGTCCCCTAATTAGGCCCACCCCACTGGGATCCCTTATGTCTGCAGATCCCTAAATCATCCACAAGATGTGACCTGGCATCAGTTGATGCATTGTGTTGTTATCGTCAGCTATTTAAAAAAAAAATCAACTCCTGTAAGCATTGTTTGAGTACAACTGAAGTATGTGTGAGCTGCTTATTTATTTATTTATTTATTTATTTATTTATAATATATTTAGTACAGGGTCTACAGGATCTGACTCATAGTGATCCTTCTGTTTTCAGCCTCCCAAGAGCTAGGATTACAGGCGCGGGCCACCACGCCTAGTCTCAATCGCCATCTCAGCACAGGCAGAGGTATCAAGAACCCCTGTCTCCTAGTGACTGCCCGAGCAGGCGCTTTAGTCCGCTGCACTATCTAGCCAGCCCTTGTGTGAGCTTCTTAACGTGTTTCTAAGAAGTACAAACATGAGTAAGATCGTCTCGGTACTCCAGACAATTTCATCTGCTTCTATTTTGAACATTTTACAGAAATGGATCAAAAAAAAAATTTTAACAGCCTTATCGTGATATAATTCATATATCAAGCAGTTCCCTCATTGAGGGTTTCTAATTCAATGGCATATATACACATCCCTTGCCACAATTTTGGACTACTTTCATGAGACCTGGAAAGAAACTATACTTCTAAGCCATCACCCAACCTTCATCCCTTCCCACTTCCTTTTCCTAGGCAACCACTGCTCTGTTTGCCGGGTCTACAGATTTGTCTATTCTGGGTATTTTATATAAATATAATAATAGTACAACTTGCAGCTGGTTTCTTTAACATAGTGCTTTCAAGGCCCATCCACGTATTAGCATGTATTTGTAATTTCTTTCTTTAAAGGCATTGCTGAGCAGTTTTAGGTTCATAGCAATAGTGAGAGGGAAATACAGGGGTTTCCCATACAGCCCTTGTTCCCATACGTAGCCTTGGGACTGTTTTTTTTTTTGTTTTTTTGTTTTTTTTACCTTGTTATTTCATATGGCTAATTTTAATCTGTTTTTATCAATTACTAATTTTAATCTGTTTTATCAATTAATCTGTTTTAACAATTTAATCAATTGTTACCTTTCCCTTCCCCATTGGTCACTTAGCTCAGGCATCCCAATTGTAGTAGACTTTCAACTCTTATTGTAGTGATTTTTTTGGGTGCGGGGTCTCACTATGTAGCTCTGACTCATAGTGATCCTCCTGATTTGCGCCTCCCTAGTGCTGGGATTACAGGCGTGTGCCACCGCACCCAGACTCCATCGCCGACTCAGCGCTAGGGTGGGCAGGAGGGGCGGGGTATGGGGTGTCATTCTTGTGATTTAAGGTGTGCGTGTGTTGGGGGGGAATGAAGTGTCTAGCTGGATGTGTGGCGCTCTCCTCTTGTCTCAGCCCTGGGGAGGCTGAGGCAGCAGGATTACCCTGAGTTCAAGGCTCGCCCGAACTACATAGGGAGACCTCAAAACCAAAAAACGGTGTTTTAAGAGATTTCCAGTACTTTAAAACTTGAGGAGAGGGAGCCTGTCTAGCGAAAAGATTCAGGACTTTAATGTTAGGAAACTAAGAAGGAATTCCACTCGTAAGTTTCTTAAGCTCTAAAAGCCTCAGCCTCCTTATCTGTTAGACAAATAACAGGATTCCTATTTGAAGGACTTATTGGCAAATCTATTGCAATTCCATCATGGAAAGCACCCCTTTAAATCCTGGCACTTGGAAGGTGAAAGAAGAGGAAACTATGAGAGAGCAATTATCCAATGCATTATTAGTGCTTCGTTGCAAGCAAACACTGCGAAGAGGCTGGGCTAACTTTTCCCTTTGAGAGTCTCAAGTTGGAGAAAAAGGCGATAGCGCTCCGTCCCTTTTATCTGGCCCCGCCCCTCCAGGGCGAGGCCCCGCCCCTCCAGGGCGAGGCCCCGCCCCGCCGCCTCAGAGCTGCCTGAATGAATGGCAGTACCGCTGCGTGCTTCCTCGGGCGCTGATTGGCCGCTCGGCGCGATGACGCGCAGCGGCCGCCCGCTGGTGAGGCGGCGGGGCGGGAGCGGGTGGCGGGGTGGAGCCGGGCTCCGGGGCGGGGCG